AAGAACAGGGAGATGCTGGGTCCCAGGGTCTCCGTCTCTCCTACCTTTCCCATATTCTGACCCTTGAGCCCCAAACTCTTACCAATGACTAGATCAGGCTTGGGTCCCTGGAGCAAGTGGTAGGGCCTAGCTGACACCTTGATCTGAAGGTCTCTGCGGCCCCCCTTCTCCTTAGTCCCAGAGCTGAGCCGAGCTGCTACCCCAGAACTGGAACGGACAGATACCTCAGGGCCATCCTGTAGGGACAAGAATGCAGTGTGAAAGCCACCAGAAGTTAGAGTATTAGAGGATGCAGCAGGCAAGACAAAGGAATGGGGACAGGAAGGGCAAGGTTCCACCATGAGGTCAGCAGAGGAATGAGGGCAGAAGAGTAGGGCTCCCTCCACTCTCACCCGCTGCAGAGTAAAATGCTGCTGGTCATTCTCGAGGGGCAGGTCATCACCCACAAACTGCAGCTCTAGGGCCACATGGGGGAGCAGGACCAAGAGCTCCTAAAGGACAGGGAGAAGAGCAGGTCTGGGTCCCACCCTATGTCTACCCCCCCCCCCCGGGCCCATCTCTAGGCCTGGAGAGACTTACCCAAAACACCATGACAAGGTCAAACTCCTTCCCCGCCTCTACCACATGAATCTTCAGTGACTGCTTGTTCTGGATGTTGAGCTCAGGGACTGGCAGGAAGCCAGGTCTTTAAAATTATGATGTCTTTTGCTCCCCCTCCCCCTAAGGGATAATGGGGGATAAGGGATAATGGTGTACCCTCCCTTCAGCCCCCCCATTATACGTTGTGTTACTTACAGGACTGGGGCACCAGGTGTGTGATGACATAGTACACAGTCAGCGGGTAGGTGAGAAGCACAGCCATGGGGGAGTCGAGACTGAGGCCTCGCCATGTGTAGTAATCCTTCCATGAGCCTGGTGAGAGTGGGTTACTGGGAAACCCAGGTCCCAGGCCTGGATCCCATTCTGTCTGGTCTAATGACCTTTCCTTTTCTCAGCCACTGAGGCTTCTAGCCCTAGTCACTGTCCTGACATTGCTTCATCAGGATCCCTCCAGCTCACCAAAGGGGCCCCTAGGTGGATCCGAGGGCACTGGAGGCATCAGGGCAGGCCCATCCCCTTGGAGAAGTTGGTAGGGATCTCCTGAAGGATTGAAAGAGAAGAGGAACTTGGAGTTAAGGAAAAAAACCCACTTCTCTCTCTTAAAGGAGCTATGTTTCCCGAGAGGGTTGGGAGATGCAGGAGGAGGTATGGGGGCTTGTTTATGACTAAAACTCCGGATGGGAAAGTAGAAGTGATTTCTTTGAGGACTGAGGAAAGGCTTGAGGTGTTGGTAGGGATTTGGCTCGTATATGGAGGGCTTATCTGATACATGGACAGCTTTTCCCCCAGTCCTTCCCTCCAGGCCAAAAGGGTCATGTCTAAAAAGAGGCTTACATACCACTGAGAAGGCTGAGGGATGGCAAGCTGCTCTGGAGGGTCCTGGGGTTACCAGGCCCTGGAATCAGCATGCTGATCTGGGTCCAGTAGCCACGAGTGAGGCCTCGAGAAGCCAGGAAGGCTTCCTTGTTAAAGGTTTCACTGGTCACTTCTGGAGAAGGAGGAGGGGGAGGGCTAAGGACTACGTGGCTAGGCCTCAAGATTTACTTCCCCTTAGCTGCCCCCACCAAGGCCCTATGACTGAGTCTGGGTCTTGTCAGAGGGAACTACCATGTTTGAGTGTCTGCAGGCCCATGTGACCTTTGTAACAAATTTACATTTGCTTGGTTCTCCCCCTACTTAGACCCCCCTTTTTTAATAGCTGACGATCCAAGCAGTAAAATGATGGATGCGTTTAAGGCACACAGCCAGTTAGTTGTGCAGCAAGAAAGCAAACACCTGAATGCCTAGCCCAAGTAACCTGAGTGCTCTTAGAAACCCAGGCACCCAGTCATCTACCTTAGAGACTCTGTCTGTGGCCTCAGAGGTCTGGCCCCTAGATCCAAACAGCTAGGACCAAGTCCTATTTCCAACCATCTAGACTCCCACCAAAAACATTTAGTCTTCAGTCCCAGGACATTGTTCCCAGAAACCCAGGCCCATGTCTTTAAGACCTGGTCCCAGTGTCCCCTCCCCCCAACCTGCATCCTTACGGTACCTGCTGTATAGGTAAAAGGCAGAGTTGCCAGTTCCCCTGCCCGCTCCATGAAAGCTGCAAGCTTTGGACACCAAAATCGGTGGCTCACATCATCTGGGCACCGCCGCCAGTCCGTCCGGAGACAAGCCTCTCCACAGTACAAGACAGCACCACACTGGGGGCTGTGGGGCACACAGTGTTAACCTCTGTAGGCCCTGTTGGCCGTCCATCTGCCTTGCAGCTGCCATTTGTCACTTAGCCTGTTTGTTTTATACCCCGTAACTGCTTGTAATAGCTTGTGTGTTGTTTCTTCCATCTTCATGTTACCTCCTTTGCCCGCCTTCCTCTGTCTGTGTGCTGTGTCTCCCTCCGGCCTGCCTTGCTTTTGCTCTGTTTGCCTGACTGTTGGGATCTCCCTTTGATTCTGTCTATGTGGACTGCTTACCAAGGTATCAGCTTCACCTCAAAGCTGTGCTTGTGACACACATGACAGGTTCGAGCTCGAAGAGAGGCAAAGGTAAAGCCTGGCCGAGGACCCCATGTGCGCATTGGGGTCTTTGTTAATTTCACTCTCAGTCTTGAAACCAGGCTCTCCAGCTCTCTGAATGGGAGTGGAGATGACATTAGTCTGAGATGCTTGGGAATTCAGGCCCCAGGCATGCCCACCCTCCAATAGCAAGGTTTTTGTACCGATGCAGCTGGGCATCTCCCACAGTAAGCTGTCGGGGCTTTCGGGGGTCCCCAGAGCCCATGGGGCAGGCCATGCTGTGGCAGAGGAGAGTATAGGCCCGAGGAGCCAGGTTCTCAGTTCCTGAGGCCAGGTCTGTGCTTCCCTGGGCTCTATCCATTAGTAGATCAATGCCCAAGATGGTACCATACTCATCTGTCACCAGCAGGAGGCAGGAAAGGTGCAGGGGGCCAGCCTCTGAGGTGGGAGAGAGCAGGGGATAAAGATGGTTGGAGCACCCTACAAGAGCTAGGCAAAAAAACTCAGGGAGTAAAGGGACTGGGGGGAGGGGCACCCCTGGTGCTGCTATATAGTACCAAAATTTGCTGCATGCAGAATGGTAGATGAGATTTTCGAATTTTAGATTTTTCTTGAGAAGGTGTAAAAACCCAGACTTCTGGATTTGTTTTCCTTCTCCAACTTACCTTCTTTTCTTCTGTGTTACTGAAGATTGAACCCAGGACTTTCACACTGAGCTACATTCTCAGCCTTTATTTATGTACCACCTCTCCTCCTTTGTTTTTTTTTTTGTTTTTTTTTTGAGACAAGAGTCTTGCTTTGTAGTGCAGGCTGACCTTAAACTAAACTCACTATGTAGCCCGGGCTGGCCTTGAATGCTCATTGATTCTCTTCCTTCAGACTCCTGAGTGCTGGGATTACTGTCATGTACCACCATATCTGGCTATTTATTTACTGAGGGACAAAATGTTAGTAAGTTACTAAATTGTCCAAGCTGGGCCCCAAAATGTGATTCTCAGAGTGTTGGTATCATAGGCACCTGACACTCTGCTTAGTTTTCTTTTAATGTTTAGGCATCAACTCAATTAAAAAGCAAACACTGAGCCAGATATTGTAGATGCACACCTGTAATCCCAGTACTCAGGAGGCTGAGGCAGTAGGATCACCATGAATTTGAGGCCAGCCTGGCTACATAGTGAGATCTTGTCCAGGAAAACAAATAACCTCCAAAATATCCCCAACCCCCAAAACAGTCAATGAAACACCTTTCTGGGCCAGGCTAGACTGAAAGCTACCAATCCATGACTCCTAGCTGGGGTCTGAGCAGCAAGGAAAAGCTTCAGGGGGTGGATTGTGGGGCAGGGGGTAGGGCAGGGGTAGGGCAAGGGTAGGAGGGCACGGGTAGGGCAGGGGTAGGGCAGGGCCCGCCATGGGTTCTTACCACTCCTCCATCCCTGCCTTTTCTCATGTGCCATTTGGTTCTCCACTTTGTCCTCTGGGCAGCCATCCTCACCACGTGCTTCCTGCCCAGTCTCCCCTAGCTCCACTGGAGGTTTTGCTTCCTGGGGTGATTCCCTGATGGTAGAGGCTGGCTCCCCATTCTCCCCATCAACCTTCTCTGTCCTCCTTGTCTTCTCTCCATTCTCTTCTTCATCTCCCTCCTGCTCTCCTTCCTCCCCATCCTCTAGGCTGACAAAGCTCACATAGGGGTTCAGGTCTCGAAGGCGGAGTGGAGGCTCATCTCCCAGAAGCCTGGAAGCCCCCAGCCCAGATCCAGGTCCTGGCTCTGCCCCTTGGCCCAAGCTGATGCCCACACTATGGTTGGGCAGGACATGGAGCACCCACAGGGCAGGGTCCTGGGGCAGCCTTTTGATCTGAGCTTCCAGCTGTCGCCATCGACCCTCAAGGCTGACCCCCACTGGCCCCCGCTCTGCCACAAACTTGTGAAACCAGCCAAAGAGGAGAGCAGCAAAATCAAGGAACTCATCCCGGTATCCAGACACAAACTCCATGTCTTCAGGGGCACAGGGTCTGACCCAGACTGAGCAGAGGAAGGGATATATGGTGAGAGATAGGGTAGTGCTGAGAAACTTCAGGGCTGGGTCACTAAGTAGGGAGGGCGTGGGTCAGGTAGCTTAGGGTGTGCTATAGAAGTGCATTGGAAGCAAAGGAAAGGATTTTCAGAGAAGAAAATGGGAGTGTGGGGTAAGAATGGAGGTCTGGGGTGCAGAGTAAGCAATTAGGGTTGAAGATAAGTATTCAGGAGTGAAATGATATATTTGGACTCAAAATTTGAGTACCCAAATCCCTTAACAGTAGGGTTAGACCTAAGGGTATTGATGAAGTAGGGTTAATCCTACGTGAAAGGGTTGGTGAGGAGGGTTGAGTTTTGGAACCCTTGGTTTTGGGTCTGTTTGGGGTGAACCGCAGGAGACCTAACCCCTCCGGACGCTGCACTACTCCGGTACCTGCAGCCGTCACCACTTTCGAAGGTAAATACCTCGGGGGCGGCTGTGACGTCAGGCCCAGAGCCCCGCGCCTCCTGGCGGTCGGGCCCCGAGGCTGGGCAGGTGGCGCCCCGAGGCTGGGCAGGCGGCTCCGTTGGCGCAAGCCGCTAGACGCCCACGCCTCGTTATTCCACCTTGGCCATGTGACTGGGCAGCAACGCCTTCGAGGCGCCCCGGGAAGCGAGAACGTCCTGAAGCAGGAACGGCTGTCCAGAGGGTCCCCCATACCGCAGCTCCGGCCCGGACCTCCCTCGGGGGCGCCCCGACTCGCCTCCCTCGCAGCCAGAGTTTTCTTTCGGTTTTGCGGGACATTCTTGCTACCCCCTTGGACGGAGCCCAGAGTCGGGGCCAGCGCTGAGGAAGCAGCTCCGCCTGCGGGGCTTTCCCTACCGCGGGGGCGGGGGACAGCGGCGCGGGCTCGGCGGTTCGGTTCGGCTCCGGATGGCGCGAGCGCGGGGCTGGAGGACGGCGTCTCCGCGCGCCCCCGGCCCGGCCGAGTCTCCTCCAGAACTCGCGAGCCGAGACAGAAGCGGGAGCCTCTGAGAAATCAGCGGCGCGTCGCACTCCCTGTCCTCCAGACTCCGAGGTGCCCGGAGATGAGGCGGGGATGGGGACTTCCGCCCCGCGCCCTGCTCCTGCTGCTGGTGCAGGTGACTCTGCCAGGTGAGCCGGGGCGGCCGGGGCCGGGCCGTGAGGGATGGGGCGCACCGAGGGTCGGGGCGGCCGCCGCGCAGCCTGGGAGGGGAGAGGGCGCAAACTGGTTCGAGACAGAGACTGGGATTTCTGGGTCGTGCCGGCCTGGCGGATCCTGGGGTCTAGGAAAAAAGGGTGCACTGTGACCGTGCCTTGGAGGCTAAGTGGGCTAAGTAACGAGGCAGCGCGGGAGAGGAATCCTAAGGCTGAAGATCTGTACTGAACACCTCTGCTCCGTTCAGGTGATGGCAACGAGGGCAGTGTCGCTGGAAGTTGTCACTGTAGTAAAACATTATCTTCTGACTTTCATGCGGGGAAACGATTCATGGAGCATTTCCGAAAATATGGAAAAATCTACCATCGCTGTCCGTTGTACATCAGGTAGTGTCTTTCACCACCCAGGAGCGCTAGCTCCTCTGGCATCCCGAATCTCTCCAGGTGGGCCAGACGCGCACTCTGGGTTCTCTTTTCGGGTTCTCACATTCTCCTTTCTGTTTCACTTACCTGGGACTTTCCCAGTTCCTCCACGCATGACTTTCTTGGTGTGACTTCATCCCTGTGAATGAGGAAACCTGGAGAAGGGAAGCTGAAGGTGTAGCTGAGAACCGAATTTTCTTTGTAATTTTTCTAATTTTTAAACAGACTACAACATAGTAAAACAAACAAACAAAAAAGATACAGAATTTCACTAAATAAAATGATAGGAATTCAAAAATGGTTGTTGTATATTGTCCTCAGATTAGCTGTTTAGAATAGCAGAAACAAGCGTGCAAATTTGGTTTTAAAAAGTTATAAGAAATTTAAAAGAAAAAAAAGCATTAATTTCTCCATTTAGTAGCCCAGCAGATAGCAGTACAGTCATCCAAGCTATCCTGTATATGTACATAGAAGTATCCTTTCCCCATCTTTCTTTTGTTCTTTTCCTCATCTGGTTTTTCTTCTTGTAGGTTTGAGCTTCGTTCCCAGAGTGTGTGCGGGGACAGCCGAGACCAGTGGGTCCTTGAAGTGATGAGCTGCTTTGATAGCGGAGGTGAGAACTTTTCCTCTCCTCAGCCCTGCTCCTGCTTCTGCTTTACAATTTGTCTTTACTCTTGATACCCCATATGCCTAGAACCTTCTGATAGTTAGCTAAAGTACTTTTACTTAAGTCTCTGTCTGCCAAGCATCCTTTTTACTATCTACTTTCATGATTTCGATTTATTCTGCCACATGTGACATGATTTTCTTAATATTTTCAAGTCACTATATATATATGATACTTTGCCTTGAGCTTTATCCCCCTTTCACCATATCAATTTTATTGAGCATTATTACATGCCAGGCACTGTTCTATTCCATCCTATTTTCTTTTCTTTCTTTCTTTCTTTCTTTTTTTTTTTTTTTTGGCAGAACCAGGGATTGAACTCAGGCCCTAGCGCTTACCAGGCAAGCGCTTATTCTACTGAGCCATCTCCCCTGCCCCTCCATCCTTTTTTCTTCTTTCTTTCTTTTTGTTTTTTTAGACAAGGTCTCTTTGTAGCACAGGCTGGCTTAAAACTTACAGTGATTCTCCTGCCTCAGCCTCCCAAATGCAGGGATTATAGATGCGTACCACTGTGCAAATATTATACTGCATATATAATTTTTTGGTGTCATTGGGGATTGAACCCAGTTCACTCTGAACTACATCTTCAGCAATCCCCTTAAAAAAAGTTTTTTAGACCTTGAGATAGGGTCTCAGTTAAGTACCTGAATTGTCCAGCCTGGGCTAGAATTTGTAATTTTCCTGCTTTAGCCTTCCAGAGTGCTGGGTTACAGGCATATATCATCATCCCAGGATTAAAATACATATTTCATATAAAATATAATCTTGGTTGTTTATCTTGGAATCACCCGAAGGAATTATTTTCATTTACCAGTAATTATGAAAATTTAGACATAAGAAAAGCTGGACAATGAATAACTGTATTCTACCACCTAGATTCTGTAATATTTGATTATATATCTCTAGCCTTCATCACTCCACTATAATTTTGATGTATTTCAATGTAAGTTGTAGGCATTCTTTTTTTTTTTTTTTTTTCTTTTTCATTCTGGGGATTGAATTCACACTTGCCAGGCAAGCACTTATGCTGCTGAGCTATATCCCTGGCCCAATATTCTTATACTTTATCCCAAAACATCTCAGAATGTGTGTTGAGTTTAATATTTTTTCTTTTTGAAGCAAAATCTATATATAAGAAAATCTAAAATGTATACAAGCCAGCTTTGCAAAATTATTTCCAACTTATCTTAATAACATTTGTAAAGCCAATTTTTAAAAATGTATTTAGAAAAGGGTCTCAATATACAGATTGAACTCATAGTGATCCTCCTGTTTTCAGCCTCCCAAGTGCTGGGATTACAGGCATGGGCCACCATGCCCAGTCTCATTTGCAGTCTCAGTGCACCCTGGGGCCAGGGCCAGCATGGCATGCTGGGGATCGAACCCTGGTCTCTGCGCCTGCCTAAGCAGGCACTTTAGTCTGCTGAGTTATCTGGCCAGCCTGTAAAGTCACAAATTTGATGAACAAGTTATTAAAATATAAAGTGCTCTTCGATGTCCTCCTGTGTCAATGGTGCTCGTGCTGCCTTTCATGATACACTGACCCATATTATTTCCTTTTTTTTTTCCATGTTATTTCCTTTAATCCTCCTTCCTACAGTATCTTGGCCCTTGGTACTATGACAGTTTTCACTGGACAGCTGAAAGAAGCCCGGTAAAGGTCAAAGTCCCATGTTATTTTGTAGCACAGTCAGGGCTCCAACCCAAGCCTCCTGACTCTCTATCTCTGAACACTGGCTCCACCCAGTGGCTGAATCCTGCTGTCTGTTCAATTCCTTGTCTCTTGGCTTCTCTGCCGCTGCCCTCCCTTTACTGGCCTTCGGTTGTCTCCTTGATGTTGTTCTTGGCTTACTACTCTTTCCTCTTCTGGGGCTCAGAACACAATACCCCAACATACGGCACTGTAGCAATTAAGAAATCCCATGAAGCAAGAAGAACACTGACTTTTCCCCACCTTTCTGTGTGGCAGTAGCCAGTAAAGACTTCTATGACTTACTTCATCTGAAAGTCATGGGGGCTGGGGAGATGGGTCAGTAGAATAACTGCCTGCCTGGCAAGTACAAAGGTCTAAATTCAATCCCCGGTTCTGAAAAAAAAAAAAAGTAAGTCATAATAAGCCCATTCAACAGTGGTCTGCCCTATTCTTGAAGGTCAAGAAGAATCTGAGTGGACAGGTCTCTCTATTCCCTCTCATGTTTATTACTACTAGATTACACGTTTATTTTAGAAAGGATCTACAAGGTCTCACTACACAAATCGGACTTGTAGTGATCCTCCTGGTTTTAGCCTCCTCAACGCTGTGATTACAGGCTTGTGCCACCATGTCCAGTCTCACTTGCTGTTTAACAGCCCCCCCCCCCCGGGGGGCGGGCCCAGCACAGCAAGCCGGGGATTGAACTCTGGTCCCTGCATATGCATAAGCAGGTGCTTTAATCTGTTGAGCTATCTCGCCAGCTCTACTCCTTTTTTTTTTTTAAATCTAATCATACTTCTATACAACTGACCGTGCTTTGCTTTTTTTGTTTTGTTTTGTTTTGTTTTGAGATAGGGTCTTGCTATGTAGTGCAGGCTGGCCTCAAACTTACAGTGATCCTCCTGCCTTAGCCTCCTGAATGATGGGTTTGCAGGCATATGCCACCAAACCTGTTTGTTTTCAAACCTGTTTTTTGTTTTGTTTTGTTTTGTTTTGTTTCCTGAGACAGGGTCTCATTATGCATTCCTGGCTAGCCTGTAATTCCTAGAATCCTCCTGACTCAGCCTCCCGAGTACTGGGCCTACAGGCATGTTCCATCATATTTAGTTCTACAGATGTCCATTGTCCATTAATTCTAATCACAAAAATACAGTTTTCTCTAAACTTTCTTTTTGAAGCTTCCCATTTCCTGTGAAATTTTGATTAAATACATTTGCTAGGCTTTTTCCTTAATGTGTTTTTTGTTATACAGGTGTCCGTTATGAACTTTGTGATAAATGAGAAGATACCACTTCACCCCACTTAGCTCGCTGTTTTGTTTTGTTTTAAACCTGCTTCCTGATAGTCCTGGTTCTTCACTTTTTCCTTCTCCAGAGTGTGGACATGCTTATCGGGAGAAAGTGGTCCATCAGAAGCATTTGTCTCCCCACGGCACCCCAATTCCCAGACCCACAGAGGGGGAACCTCCAGACAGAAGCACGCCTCCCCAGAAGTACCCGCCATCTGCCTCGAAGTCTACCCCAAAGCCTACCCGTCTGCCAGGGACACTGTCCTTGGATAAAGGGCTCAGCCACTTCAGTGAAACCACCACTCCCACTGTGGGCTACAGTCTAGAAACTGGGCATCAGGCTAAGGAGAACCAGAAAGATCTGAAAGAAAAAGCAAGTGCTACTGGTGGACCATCATCTCTGGTGCCAGTACTGTCCCTTCTGGGCATTGTCTTCTTCTTGATTGGAATCATATCCTATATGAAATGCAGAAGGAACAGGGAACAGCCACAACAGTACACTCAAGCTGTTACGGCTTATGTCTAGATATACCTCCAAAGCCAAATGCAGTCATAGGTGGCACTTTCCTGAAGTGGCTGGATCTAAGGTGTGTGATGCTGGGATCATGGATGTGATGCTGGGGTTGACTCATGGCACAATGCTAGGGTTAAGGGTGCTTCACGCTGAGTATGCCACTTGCCCTAAAGATGAGTAGCCTGGATAAGACATAAGAGACAGAAGGAGGGTTGCTGTGCTCACTGCTTATCACTTACTGCTTGCTGTTTGATGGCTGCCTTCTGCCTGCCCTACTTTGCCATGGAGGGGGCCTGCCCCTTAGCTCAGTTCTTTAAGTGGCTGCTTCAACAAAGCAGTCAGGCTCAGGTTGCGGTGGTTTGATCCCCACAACTCAAGCCAGCCAAACCTGCCCTGAAGGCATTTGGAGCAAAAAAAATAAAAATAAAAAAAATAAAAATCCTACTTTGCCATGGCCTGTTTCTCCTCTGGAATGCCTGTCTGCCATGCCACTGTGCCTTGGAATCAGTTGACTGGCCTGAAAACTCTACAAACTGTGAGCTGAAATAAACATTTCCTCCTTTAACTCGGAGTGTTGAGTATTTTGTCTGGGCAATGAGAAAAAAATAACCAAGATACTTAGAGTAATCCCTCACCCAGAGACCCATAGCCTTCCTTGAAGGAATACTGGTCCCTGTAGTTCTCAGGTAGCTAGAAACCTGACCCACCACACAAAAATTAAGGCTCCTGTACTGTGGAATCTAGGCTATGATGGAAGAGTCAATAGAGACTAGTAAGTGGAGAGAAAGGGAACCTATCATGGGTCTAGGCCCAGTCCTTGGCCTGGCAGTAGTAGGGGTAAGTAGGGTAAGAACAGGTTAGAAGATAAAGTTTGGATAAGGGTAAGGGACATTCATTCAATTCACAAATCTTTATTGAGCACTTAATGTGTACTAGGTCTTAGGATTAATGTCTGGGAGTCTGATTTCCCACTTAAACTACCACCCCTCCCCAAATTTTCCTTGATCTTAGAATTCATCTCTCAGTTTCTTTATCCTTCCCAGAGCTACAGCGTTATCAACACACACCTGGAACTCCAGACTTCAATGCCTGAGCCAATAATGGAAACCTGAGAGCATGGACTGATTTCTTTTCTAAATACTTTATGTAATTAATTTTTGGTAAATACATAAATTAATTTATGTAATTAATTTTAGGCAACTGACAAATTTATTATTAACTACCATCTGAATCTGTCCTTTAAAAAAACATGCAGTACTACCGGGAGTGGTGGTACACACCTGTAATCCCAAAACTTGGGAGTTTGAGGCAGATCATTGTGAACTCAAGGCCAGCCTGAGCTACACAATGAGATTTTGTCTCAAAACAAAACACTAAATGAAAGGACACAAATACCCTACCAAATGAATAAAAAATATTGACAATACAAATGCAATAGTGTTAAAAAAACAATTACACATTTTTTACACAGAAATTTAGAAATCAGACTATATACAACATTGTAGCAGTAAAATCCTACATTTTGTTTTTCTTGTCCCTCATTTACTTTTTTTAAATTTTTTTTAAAATTTTATTTATTTATTTATGTGTGTGTGTGTGTGTGTGTGTGTGTGGCCAGCTCAGCCCACCAGGGGCGGGGCTGGCTGGCATGTGGTGCTGGGGATTGAACCGCGGTCCCTGTGCTTTGCTAAGCTTGTTCTAAGTAGGTGCTTTAGACCACTGAGCCATCTCACCAGCCCCCCCATTTACTTTTATTACTTTTTTAAACATACATTTACTTTAAATAGAGTACAGCAATTATTGATACGACATTAGAAGCAGTCTGCATTTATAAAACCAAAATCTATATTGTATTATTTTGCTGAATTCATGCACCTACAATATGTAAATGGCAAGGGAACACCCATCACCGACAAAACTAAAAAAAAAAGGGGATATAAATGAAGGACCATTTTGTATCTGTATATACAAAATAGTTTAGATATGCAGCTACTTTCTCTTAATTCAATGAGAAGAAAGATTTGTACTAATAGTGTTTGGATAGGATATTATGTCTACATCATGTACTATGAATAACCACTACAAAGACAACACTATGCAGTGTATTAATTATTGAAACTGTCCTAATCAGTTTTGAAACTGTCTCATTGCTATTTGTTTCCCCATAAAATAAAAAATAATCAAAAAAAGACCAAAATGAAGTATTTTTTAGGGAAAAAATATATATGTATATACAAGATGGTTAGGATAGATATACAGCTTTCTCTTAGTTCATTGAGAAGGTTTGTACTAATATTGTTTAGACAAGATATCATGTCTGTATCTTGTCCTCTGAATAACTACTACAAAGACAGCAATATGCAATGTATTAATTACTGTAACTGTCTTACCTGTTTTGAAACTGTTTCATTGCTATTTTATTTTGTTTCTCATTAAAATGAATAAACAATTTTAAAAAATGAAAAAAAAAAACCCTGCAAACATACAAAGCTATAAAATCTGGGGCCTCAGTTGTAGCTTTTAATCACACCATGCTTGCCTAGCATGAGTGAGGCCTTGAGTTCAATCCCTAGTCCTGCAAAAAAGTACATTAAAAACTT